GGGCCACGGCTTCCCCGTTATCGACTAGCTGCAGGCTTTTAACGTACGACTATCTGCAGGGCCCGCTGAACACTTGTCCAACTGGCTTTTCGAGCAAGAAGATAGAGTACCACGGTCCTCTATTAGTAAACATCTACGAGACAGCGGTCATTCAGTCGAAGTAAGAACAGCGTTTCGAATACTTTTTCGGGCCGAAACAAATCAAACTTTGCGCTATTTGGAGGCTGCCTACATAGGGCGGGAGAATCCCGATCTGCGAAAGTAGCCTGACCATGTAGTCAACCTCCCATTACCCTGGTAATTGGGCACTTAGCTTTAATCCCGAAGTGATTTTCGACAGCTCCCCTCATCCCCACCTCTCTCCTTTCCTATACGTTGACTTAGTGCAGTGTCCCTTATCTGCTCATTATTTAAACTGAACTATGATCCTTGCTGTTATGCCATTTCATTCTGTGAAATTTCAAACTGTTGTATGTTCTCTTCGTTATCATACTCATGCAACGACAAGATGCAATTGAGAAGCTGCCATGAAGTTAATTGACGTCAATAAATCCTGCTGTGTACGTTTTTTTATGAAGGCCCATTCCATAAATATAAAACTCTCATAATTGTGAATATTTTTAAAATCGCAAGGTATACTTCCTTCAAGTATAAAACTTGGAGGTATAATTTTCCCCCAACTGAGTACAAGAAAGAACGCATATTTCAGAATTTCAGCTGGCATTTCACGATTTATTGTAAAAGAGCAGTAACGGCATTGAAGACGGCAGTCTTGGCTGTGTGTTAGTGCCCCAGGCACTGGTTCACCAGGCTCTGTACGATGGATTCGATTGTGACCTACCAAGCCGATGCATGAGATGAACGTGCGATCGTAATGAGGGAGAGTTAGGCCCCAGTTCCCAGTTTTGGTGGAGGAGTCGGTTGTTGTGTTTGAGGTGATGGAAGGTGGTGCGTCGGACGGGGTGGATAGAGTTGTGGCTGTGGCTTCCATGGGGAAGGGTGTTGTGACCAGTGGGCTATGAACAGGAGGAACTGTTGGAGTACTTGACGCCGTGGAATTAGATGTCGTTGGTAGCATGGTGCACTGCGTGTGGATATTATCGACCAAGCCGATACGTGTGCGGGAATTGACTTGACAGCAGGGGCAGGTTAGGAGAGCTTTGATATTGACAACGTTACGGTCGATCTTTTGCATCTTGGCGGCAGCGCTCCGACTGACTTCGTAAATAGTTGCGTAGGTTTTCAGTGTTCTTCTTCAAGGAGATCGGCCCTGTGCCAGTCGGTCCCAGGCCTTCGTGTTTATTTTAAGTCGGTTCAAAGAGTTCTTCAGGGTGTCCTTGTAGTGCTTCTCTTGTCCTCCTTGGCAGCGAGAACCAACAGCAACATCACCGTAAAACAGTCGCTTGGATAGTCATCCAGCCGCACTAGGTGGCCGCTCCGTTGAAGTTGTTTTTGTCTCAAAATGGCGTGGATGCGCGAATTCCTCTCAAAGAGTGTTAAGCCTAATAATGTTAACCCTAACTGCTGCGATATTCTAGACAAGGTTCCTTAGGTGAAAAGAGAAGTCATGGGAAGGCCAGATTGGTAGGAAGAAGGTGTTCTGCAGAGAGGGTTTGAAAAATAAGTAGTAAGAGGTTTGACTCGAATTGGCAGGCGTCCGACTGTGAGAGCGCAGTGTCAGTAACGGCGTTGACAACGCTGCCTGCGACCGCTCCTTGACGGTGCGGATTTCGGAGTGATATCTTG